GGTAGGAATTACGGAAAACTTTCTAAGCATTTGATAAATTATACATAGTTCGATATACATATTTTTATTAAAGTTAACTTTTATCAATCGGAAAGTATGGAAACAAAACTTTAAACTCTTTTACAATAAATATTCAGCTACAAATAAATGGACTGATCCTTGAATAAAGTCATTCTCGAAAATCCCAACATCGAAGTTGAAGTAGCAGTCAAGTATACCTACTTAAAGCCATTATTTCCCAAGTTCCTTGTGCTTGGTCTGAGACAAAGATTGAGATGTCGCTGATTAAAGAATATTGGCTGACCGCATTTGAAGCCTTAGATAAATCAAAAGTGATCAGATCATAGCAGAAGGTAGTGAGAACTGAGCTAGCACTGTAGCTTATGAATTCAAACCGACGGTAGAACGTAAGTGTTTTATTAGCAATGGACAAATAAGCGTCTCACTACCTTTAGATACGTGAGCGATGAAAGTGATTGGTAGTTCCCTCAAGTTGGAGTTTTTACACCGTGCTGTTTCCTACAACAGCCAATTCTAGGGTACCAAAATTGGCCCGGTTCATCTGTCCAAGGGATATCAAAACACTCTTTAGTTCTTCTTACTGCCTTTAATTATATCCTGAACAGAGTATATTATGTTTGACGGACGGAAGGAGACATGGGAGAGAAACGAAAACCCGACAGATACGGAGTAGTGTTAATGTTAGGGATAGGTTAATGCAGATAATGTTAATTATATTAATGTTAATGTTAATTCTCTCATTATTCTCACTAAATTGCCAAATTTTACGGGCTCACACAGTAGACTTGACGGTCACAGTAGCACAACGAGCGAATATTTTATTATTGGCGAAAACATGGATAAACAATGAAGGAGCTGTGGATGTGCCAAACTTCGATTGTGTCGTCCATTTCAAACGTCCCAATGTAAGAGCTGGGGGGGTAGCTGTCTACCATAACACCACTTACAGAATAAATATTGTCTTTCCACATATGCATTTGAATTTACAACAAATTACATTTTGAATGCGGCTACAGTTGGAGTTATTTTTGCGGCCGAATGTGTCATAGAAAGCGGACAGAGTGTGGCAATCATTGTTCTTTACAACCGTTCCGAACCTGAGAATTAACGATATAATAAAATTCATACATAGAGCATTATTGGCATATGCTCCCTCTAGTGCAGCGGAATTATGAGAAGATTTGCACACTATGGCAATGATTTTAAGCGGTGATTTTAATGTCAAATTTGCCTTGGAAGAAGCTCAACCACTTGTACAATTTTTAGAAAGTAAATTTAAAAATGAATAATAATTCCAAGACTCAACAACCAGATAAGGCACGACAATAGATGCAATTTTACCAAGATATTTAAATAATTTACAATCAAAAGTTTGCATTTCATATTTTTCATACCACAAACCAATTGAATATTTTCTTGAACATGAAAGTATGGAGTGAATGAATAGATTTCTCTTCTTGGAGGCGAAAACATCAACTATCTTTTTTCATTAACCTTACACCCTTAAAAATTCCGAATAATGAATAGTGGCTTCTGTTATCGGAGAAATAATTCTATCTCATAAAACTTGCTGTCTAGGGTGAGTATTTTCATTTCAAGCGCCCATCGAGCTTTCTAGCTTGTTTGGTTTTTTATTTGGCGAGATATCTTCACAAAATTTCCCATAAACTGATCGATCGCAGTCAAGATAGAAATCTGTTTATAGCATATATTATAATAGCCATATAATATAGCTATAAGAAATACCCTTCACAGTATAATAGCTTCGGTCGAAGTTAACTTTTTTTCTTAATGTTCTTGCCCACCCCCCGTAAATTAAACATGTCGTTCCTCATACATTGTTGTGTGTATAATGTAAGTATATAGTACTTATTTATTTATTTATTTACTTCTCAACAAATTATTTTGCGATTCACCAGCTTTCAATTAAAACATGGAAAATCCTTAGTGCTGTTCTCTTCCGATTATTAATAAAAGTAAAATTGTAAATAAACTGAATAAAAGTAAGCAGATAATAGATCACAAAATCATTGAATTACTTTTGGAAGAAATTAATTTCAAGCAAAATTATTTTTATTTTTTTTTATTTTTTGTTTTTTATTTTTGTTTTTATTTATATATAAATACATTCGTCCAATAGAATAATAAAAATAATAAACCTTACAGTTATTTGTAGCAGCTATTTTCGGCAATTTCGTACATATTTATTAAAAAAAAGTATATAGTTATTTCATTTGCAGTTGGTGCAATTCCAAAAACATAAACAAATGCAACCAAAATTGTTATTATTTGTTGTTTAACTTTTGCAATCATTTTCTAAACAAAAAATCTTTTATTAATTATACATTTCAATAGTCAACAGTAAAGTAATCATGTAGTAATTATATGTAATGATTAGCTAAACATAAGAAACCAACGGAAAATAAAAGCAAAAACAATATGAATTAGTATAAATACAATTGCTAAGACACTTCAGCGAGTCGTACAAATAAAATGGTAATTACCGTTATTACAAAAGCAATGCAAGAAATCTAAGGCTATATGTGTGTAAATAAATGTTTTCTCTCTCTCGCTACTACGCTTTCTTACATTTTTTTTCCTTTATATCTTTTTTTTTTGACACAGTAACGCAACTTGCAAATTATTTTAGAATTTTCGCTATGCACTAAAAGCTAGTTTTACAATTTATCTCATTGTTCAGCATCACACATCTCAAAATAAACACAGTTCGGCAATACAAAACGGTTTTGCGCAAGTTTTGCTACTTTTGTTTATATTACTATTATTATTATTTATTATTATGGGAATTTATTTAGAAAATTATTCTCATACCCTCGTTTACTAAAAAATACAATACAAAAATCTCTTATTGCTACAAAACTAACAGTTGTCTATGTTCTTTTTTTTAATAATATTTTTGTTACATTTTTTTTTATTTTTAGTTACTAAGTTATACAAAAATATACCAAGTTTTAAGTTGTACATAAAAAATACATACATACACTGTGGTTGGTGACTTTTTATCTATGCTACGAACCCTTATTAAAGTCAGTTCAAAAAGGGTTTAATTGTAAAATATTAAAAGCATTATGCAATTGTTGGTGTAGACGGTTTGCGACAGGGGAGTTTGCGTTTATCAGCTAGAACTGAAGATCTTAAGTGTTGTAGCTGAAAATTTTATTTTGTGCTTGCATGGTGTATTTTGTGGAAATCAGCGGAAATGGCGGAGACGAAGATAAATTTTGAAGATATAAATATTTTTAATGTAAAAGTCAATGAATTTTGAACACTTTAACATACGATTTTTTATCACAAAATTTCGAATATAAAAAAAAAATACATATATAGCTTATTTTTTGGTTTCTTATTGAAAATAATTGATTTTGTTTTAATATTATATATTTTTTATTCTTTAAACATTTTTATATTATTATTTTTAATTCATATGTATTATGTTTTTTCATTTGTACATATGTATATAAATTATTATTTGTTTTTTGTTTTTAGGTATCTAATTTATTTTATTATTTTGCAATTTTTATTTGTTTTTCATAATTAATTAATTGAGACGAGTTTTTTTTTATTTTTTATTTTATTTCAACAAGGGAAGTATTTTCTATCATATCATAATTTATTTTTTACAATTATTCATTGTTATTTATTAGTTGTAGGTTTTCTTATATCGTTGTCGCAAGTGAAAATGAATTTTGAAAATAATTGTTTTTTCATTGATTATTAATAAAACAGTTAATTTTGATTTTTCAATCTTAGATCTTTTTAGCACAAATTTTCAAGTATCAAAAAAAGCAAATATTTATATAACTATATTTTTATAACTTTTTATATTAATTTCTTTTATTTTTTAGTATTTTATTTGTATTTTGTTTTTCTTAATTAATTAATTGAGATGACTTTTTTTGATTTTAACAAAAAAAAATTTTATCACAAGGTTTGCACTATTAAAAATATACTTAAATAATTTAGTTTTGGTTTTCATATCATAATTATATAATTTAATTATGCAATGGTTCTGGTTGTTTTATTTCAATTAATTTTATTTTTTTTCTCATTAATTTTTTATCATTTTATTTATTATTATTTATGTTTCTTAACTAATTAATTTTGTTTATTAATATTTTTTTAATCAATTTATTTTTTTATATGTTTTAATTTTTATAATTTTATTTATTATTATTTATATTTCCTAATTTTTTTTATTCATTAATTAATAATTTTGATATTTCAACATAAAAAATTGTTATCACAAAATTGCAAATATTAGAAATGTACATAAATAATATATTTTCAAATAACAGAAATATACATAAGTAATTTATTTTTGGGTTGCAAATCTAAATTTATTAATTAAATTTTTATATAATTATCCATTTTGTTTTGTAATAGTTTAATTTGTATTATTTCAATTGATTTTGTCAGTACTTATTATTTTTATTTTTGAATTTTATTTATTACTATTTGTATCTTTCAACTGATTTCTTTTTATAATTTTTATAATCTTATTTATTATTATTTATATTTTTTAATTAATAAATTAGTTATTTTCATATTTTCACATAAATAATTTTATATCACAAGGTTTCAAATATTAAAAATGTACATACATATATAATTTATTGTTGGGTTTCATATATAATTATTTAGTTTATTTCATTTATTTATTTTTTGTTGTTATTTTTTAAATAATTTCAATTATTAACTTTTTTTTTTAAATTTTTTGATCAATTATTATGTTATATTTTATATAATTTTATTTTTTTATATAATTTTAATTATTTTATTTTTTATCATTTTTTAGTCAAAAAAGTTCACTTTTTATAGATATTATATGTATGTATATGTTTACAAATCTTCTATGATAATAATATATTACTTGAGCCGCCTAAAATAAAAAAAAATAAGAAACTACATTCTCTCACCTTTTTCTTCTCATTTTATAAATTGTGGATATGTTTTTTTTTAATTTTAGCTCGTTTTAACAAGCTTCGATCTTATACTCGATCTTTGATACATACAAGTAAGTATAACTAGAAAGTGTTACGTAATGACAGCTGTCTAGTTTTTTAGTAGTAAGAGACTACTAAACTAAAATTCAGAGTGCAAAAGAGAAAGTTTAGAGAAGAAAGAGGAATTTAGAAAATAATAATAAAAATCATCAAACGCATAAAAAAAAGGTGAGCGCCAACAGTCTTTAGAAAAACTAAGCTTGATTTCAACACGACGCAACGTTTAATAACATTATATGTATATAATCACAGAAAATCCCACTCCCCAACGCAAACGTCGCGATTTTGAAAGAATTTTTTATGGTTGATTAGTTCGAAAAAAAAAATTTATATTAAAAAACATTTCAGGCTTACAACAAACACACAGTTGTAATTGTCAACTTAAGGACCAATACAATTCATACTTTACACATTCGCATTGTGTAACTATTCATTACGTAAAATTTTAAAAACAAAAAAATGGAAATACGTATGTAGTGTAAAATGCTGCACAAATGTATGTGGCAACTAAACAGCAGCAGCAGCGGCAGCAGCAGTAGCGCGCGCCATGCATACACTTCTCTAACAGTGCCGTGACAACTCCGCGTCCGCCAAATTCAGTTTTGCAAAGTCGTGCAATGCATGCTTCTACGAACCGCCAACAGTTGCCGCCGCCGCCGACGCGTTGGACCGCGGTGATATGGGCGGCGAGCGTGCGGTGCTGCTTGCGGGGCTAGCGCTAGCGCGCATCTCACTCACATAGCAATCGCGGCAAACGCGTACCGCCTTTGTCAGCCCATATTTGGGCAATGGTGCCGTTGCATTGGAGCAGACACCGCAAAATACTCCGCCACAGTTGCGACAATGATGACGCCGACGGAATGCGGTGAACTGTGTACGGCAGCCCATGCAGCGTGGCGCCTTATCGTCTGGCACCCAGGCGGGCGGTGAAATGCGTACATTCACATTGGCGTTGCGCATCACGTTGGAGGTGGCTACAGTGGCAGCGGCGACAGCGTATGCGTTTGGTGCTATGAGCGCGCTGGACGGTGGTGATGCTCTGCTGACTGATGTATTATTATTATTGTTGTTATTGTTAACATTGTTATTATGATTGTGACTGTTGACGGTGTGCGGCATTGATGTGCGCTGGCTAATTGGCGAGTTATTTTCCGACGAGGCAGATGATGATGACGACGACGATGATATGGGCGATGTGCTGCCCACCGAATCGTTACGACTTCGTCGCTGCCGTTGACCGCTAATGTAGGCGCTTAAGCGGCTGCTCTGACTGCCGACAGTTGTGGCGGCGGTGGCAGGGGTTGATGAGGCCGGCGTTGCGCCAATATCACTGTGATCTTGATCACCTAAACTGCGACTGCGACAAACATGCACGCGACCGGCTGGTAGACTAGACGGCGTTGCGTTTGACTCAACTACGTCTATGGTATTGCCACGCTGTATGGCGCCGCTAAGGGAATGCCGATTATTGGTGTTGCTGTCACCGCCGACACTGCTGCTGCTGTTGTTGCCACTACCGGAACCGCTGCCGTCGCCGCCATTATTGTGGAATACACTGTCCAGCTCGGGATTGACTTCTTCGGCTGAATAAATGCTCTGATTGGAGCCGGCATTCTCCTGTATCACATCTTGTTCGGACGCGCGGAATTCAAATAATTCCGATTCCTTTGGTTTTTCGGGTATATCCAAATCCTCCTGTGCCGGCGACATATTCATGAGAAATACGCTGCGCAAAATTTGGCGTAAATCGGCGGCGAAATTGGTCTGCAGCTGATCAGCCACGCCGGCTATGCATACGAAGAGGCGATGCAACAGATTTTCAATACTTCTATGAGGAAAATAGAGTTAAAGTGAAATTCTCTAACTAAAAGAAGGCAAAACACTTACTTAAAACGTTTGCGCGTAGCCACTTTTATTGCCTGACTAACTTCACTGGGCGCTTGTAGCGGATGTGCAACAACCTCCGACAACGAAGATGCGCTGCTGCTATCTGCGCTCGAGGTGGTGCTTTGACTGGCGGCCGTTTTCGACGTCTTATTCTCTTTCACATCACTTAAATTCCCAAGTTCCGCCGAATTGGCGTCACTACTAACACTTTCTTCAGCAGCGCCGCTTTTCGCCTTCGTCGTTTGTTCATTGCGGCTGCGATTATGCCGATGATGATGATGATGGTGATGGTGGTGATGATGGTTGTGGTGATGATAAGGATAATGGCGACCTGGCGGACTTTTGTGACTGTGCGCGGTGTGTGTTTGCGCAAGCGCGCAGCTGATATGGTCATGATGATGATGACGATGGTGTTGATGGTTACTGCATTGACGCTGTGTTTCCTGCTTCCCGCTTGACGCACTGTTGTTGCTGCCTTGTGTGGACGAGGATGAAGAGGAACTTGCAGGTTCACAACTGCATGCGGACATTTGATCACTTCCATTGGGACTGGTCAGATTATCACTGCTACCTTGTGAAGGTGGTGAGGACTTTGGTGAGAGTGCTGTGGTTGTTGTTGCTGCAGCAGCAATTATTGTCGCTTTAACGCCACTCTCAATGGAGATTTGTTCAGTTTGACTGCTTAGACGTAGACGTCTTAATGCTGCACTTGTGGTGGGTACATCTGGGTAGGTTTGTTGATCTTCTTCCAACTCCACATTGGCATTGCTGGAAGCATCATCTTCACTGGCTATGAAATTGCCCGTCAAAGGAACTTCTTGTGGCTGCAGCAAATTGCCGAAATTTGTATTTGGAATGAGATAGCCGGTAGCACAGTCGGCTGAAACCATGTCTTCGTTCTCACAATCACCGATCACAACTTCGTCATCGTCAGTTTCGTCAGCTTCACCTCCGTCAACAAGCATATCATCATTATCATCAACGTCATTTTCTTCTTCATCATCATCATCATCCTCATCCATCTCATCATCGTCGTCATTTTCATCATCATCCGTCCAGTCTGCTGGTGAGGTAGTTGAACTATTCAATACTGCGGACGTTGTCGATGCCAACGAATGTGATGGAGTCGGTGAAACGGCGGGTGTCGAAAGCGCCGAACTATTGCTAGAGGCCGACGACATCGAGCGACGGCTGCAAGAGTCACAATGGGACTTATTGCAGTTGTTGGATGTGTCTGCACCGCTACCAACTGCTGTTTTAGCAGTTCTCAGAGGATGTTTTGGACTCATTGTGCTGGAGTTGGGAGTAGGAACTTGCGTCTCCCAGGTAGTAGCGGTAAGTGAAGTGTCGCTTAAATTATTGTTTCGTTGTTCCAGAGGATGCGCAAGAGTCTCCTCAATTGTGCTACTGGCAGGATTTTGTGTGATAGACGCATTCGTGCTGGTAGTGGTGCTGTTATTGTTCCGTTGATCCTCACTCGGCGCTTCGATGCTGCTGGTGCCGACTGGCAGCTGAAAGTGGGGAGAGAGAAAACGATTATTAGTAATATTCAATGAGAATTATTAGAGATTATTTGAATGATTGAATGATTGATTTGATGATTGAACAATCATTTTGTATGGCAGTTATAGGCGTTAGTGGCTCGATATCGATGGTTCCGGAAACGGGCATGCGCAAAATCTCTGGACGATATCTCAAAAACTCTCCGACATTTGCTTCTAGGTATTACAAACTTCGTGGCAAACTTAATATAACCTGTACAGGATATGAAAAAAAAAACTTATATGTATCTTTGGATCACACTCACCGTTAGCTGAATATCCTCATTGGTACATAACAACTTCTCCAATTGTTGCAGCTCACTTTTACTCAGCGTACGCAGTAGATCGCGTATTTTGATGAGTATTGTGCGAAATGGTCGAAACATCTCCGACAACTGATCGGCCGGCATATCCATATTGAGTGGACCTTTGGGAAAAACTACTAAGCCCGTTATAATTGCCAAACGCGGAATGGAGAACATTAAAGCCGGATCGAATGTATCCACCTTGTCCTGATCGATGAGACCCAATTTGAGCGCACGTTGCAATGTCTCCGAAAAGAGCACACATATCATTTCTTGCATCTCGTACTCATCCTTTGTTTTCACCTGCACCATTGCGCTGACATAACGCAATTCGAATTCGGCAAATAAACGATCGAATATTTTCAAACTCTCATACAATTGCTCTGTGGTGGAATCGTTTATATCCAAATGTAGTGTTTTGCTATTCGGCACATTATTTCGAAGGCACTGATCACGCAACAAGCTGCGCACATTACCCAAACTCTTTGTGACCGCCTGCGCCAAGGGACGCATCTCTTTGCTCTCCTGTTCGCGATGCATTATCGATGAGCCGGCAGCAAGGCACTCGGCGCCAAACCATAACTGACCGGCCAAATTTTCCTGTAGCACTTCTTCGGGAAATTTCGCACGAAACGCACGCGGATGACGTTCGTCGCCAAGCAGCTCTTCCATTATTAAATTAGTAATGGAGAGTACTTTGTCCTTTGAGAGAGGTAGAGAAAGAGAGAGAGAGAGAGAGAGAGAGAGAGAGAAAGAAAAAATAATAATTATTTGTATAAGCACTTGGTAAAGTAAGTGCAGAGATACTACCTGTCCCTGTCGCAGCCGGCTGACAAGACGTGAACAGCGATCTGGCTCTGCGCGCCCATCGAAGCTGTCCAATTCGCTGGCGACGGCTGTGAGTGAACGATCTGCATGATAGAAGCGTGCTAGTAGAGATTTGTCATCTGCCTGTAAGTACAAAGTGGTGGAAGTTGCTATAAGAATCAAGTTGGAAACTTTAAATTAAATAAAGATTATATGTTTATAGGTTAGCATAAAATAAAATAAAAATTATAATTAAACAATGTTAATAGAAAAAACAAAATTACGAAATTTTCAACAATAATTACCCTACTATGCAATTAATTTGTATTCTGTAGACAAAAATTCATTAGAAGTATTTCTACACTTGACAGTCTAAATAGACTGACAGTGAAATGATTGACTGCCTTGCATTATCAGCGAGAGGATTGCAGGCAAATAATACATATGTATATAGTTTGACAGTTTCTTGTATTTGTGGGACTAATCAAAAAATATTCAGTTCCAAGTCTAGAAAATTCCATTATAATTTTATTATATGTACATATATATGTATGGAATATATATTATATGTATATACTAGTGTACGCAGTGTAACTGTTAAATCGGTATGTACATATGTAATTTAGTGACATAAGAAATTCAAGTTATAGAATATATAATATGAACACGAAATAATTAAAATAAAATAAAAATAGTAAAATAAGGACAAAAAATATTTTATACTAAAAGAAAAACTCAATAAAAAATTTTTTTTAAATATTAAAAAAAAATTTAATGAACAAAAATTTTAATAAAAAACAAAATTTTTTTTAAAAAATTTATAAAAAAAAATAATAATAAAATTAAGTAAAAAAAAAATAAATATTTAATAGCAAAAAATATTAAACTGAAATTAATTAATTATATATAATTGTCTTAAAAAATTAATAAATAAACTGCAATAAAAATTTATTTATAAATATGTAAAAGTTACAATTAAAAACTGAAAATAAATGAAAAAAATTTTTAGGTCGGTGAAAATGGTATTAAACACAACTTATCTAATTTTATCAAATTCGTATAAATTGTGTACTATTTTACGTAATGCCTAAATGTATGCAATCATTTAAGCTTCATCCTCAGCTATACTAAAAATGATGGAACTTTATCTATTATTTTTGATCTTAACCTTGACTTTTTATCTGTTAAACGGGCGATCAAAATGAGGACCCACAGTATGGGCATCTGAAACCAGTATATAATGAATTGAAAGAAGTTTACATTAAGTGGCATCTTTAAAAGGGTAAAAGGGAGAAATACGGAAAAATAAGAGAGAGAGAGGGAAAGAAAAACGAGACACAAAAAGGAAAAGAAAAAGGAGAGAGAAAGACAGGGATTATGGAACAAGTTATTAATATGTGAAATGTCAATTATAGTAGACATAACTAGTGTAGTGGATTAGAAGCGTAACTTAATACTCAAGACATTGAAATGCTTTCAAAAAGGAGTTTGAAATTAAAAATATACAAGTATGTACATATATAAAAAAATAATTCTTTGTTTAAATATTCGTTAACTATACTCTATCGCGCATACTTTAGAGCTTAAGTTTTTCCAAACGCATATTTTTGGAAAATGTATACTTTAAAATACTACGATTTCAAGGTTGCACGAATTAATGATTAAATCTTTTTTCGAAGATTCAGAGAACCTCCAGTAACATAGGGATACTCCAGGATAGCGCAATTAAATATTCTTTCTAGTAAAAATATGTACATACATATATTAGGGTAGACCACACAAAATCTATCTTGCAACTTGAAGCACTAATGAAAAAGGTATATTAAAAACTCCAAAAGACCCCAAAAATTAATAATATTATTCTTTTTTTCAATCGATAGTTACTTCTGTTGTCGAAGATTTCACCATTAAAAATTATAAAATTGCAATTTTTACACCTGTAACACTGTTGTAATTAGTATTAGAACTGGAATTAGTAGTAATAGTAATAGAAATAGAAATTTAAGAACACTCCTAATGTTGCTATGAAATTAGATTTTTAATTTTAACAATTACACATATTTAAATACATAGAATTTTCAAAAGGAAATTAAAATATGTACAACTATCTGCGAATGCCCACACGCTTTCCGAAACACGCACGTGTTCGCTAGATAAAGACAAAATCTATGACTTTATAACTATCAGCTATAAAGTAAAATTCATCCGGCATATAATTTGCGAATTTATAGTCAAGTATACGCAATATATTTACAAGTGGGTGTGCGTGCGTATGTTTATGTGTATGTGTGTGTATGTGTATGTATGCACACATTATTTTCATTCGATTAAATAAAAGTGTTCAGTAAAACTATCTGATAATTACGTGCATATTTACACACACATGAAATGTAAACAAACGCACATACACACACACACACATTCTTACAAATGCCGCCAGAGTCTAGATGCTTTAGGTAAGCATATGGTGCGAGTATCGAGGGTAAACATCGGGTCAATAAACACTGGAATTAAACACACGCGCAGAAATCTGAACAGATGATTATGTATAGATATGTGTGTGCGTATGTACATATAAAGGAAGGCATCTTAGAGGAAGGCGTAGTAGCGACAACGAGCAAAAAATGGGCGAACGAAATACAAAGTAATGTAAATCTACAGCAAATTTATTTCGAGTGTATGAGTAGAAAAGTAAATAATATTATTAACATTGCCGCAAATTAGTATGCAAACAAAATTGCACATACATATATAGGTACATACATACAAGGTATGTACATAAATACATGATATGTACATATATACTTATATAAGTATATGATATGTTTGTGACGTGCGCAAAAAAATCACAGAAAGCGAAGTGAAGCGACTAAAAGACCAGTTTGATGCACACATGAGGCGCTATGCTAAAAAAGAAGAAGAGAAAATGACCTTGGCGATGCGCAAAACAGATGGCAATCGGATAAATAAATAATGATAGTTAAAATGCAACAAAAGCGGTTCATTATCATATTTATATAATATATACTTGTATTTAAATGCTTGTAGACAAATTCATACACATAAAAACTATTTGTATGTATGTATACTTGTATGTACATATATATATGTATATATTTGAAAAGCACATAACTGGATGAAAATACGAAGCTAACAGCCAAGCTAACGGGCTACGTTAACTTCAACGGAATATATATCAGGAATAAGCCGGACCGCAAATTCACGCTTTATCGCAATTGAGTAGAGAAAGACATAAAAATGAATGGTGAGACAACGAAAATTGAGGTAAAAGGAATATTAACAAGTAAGGAAGGGCTAAGTTCGGATGGAACCGAACATTTTATACTCTCGCAAAGTCAAATAGTATACTCGTTTGAGATTTCTTTGTGGATTGGCTGATATTTTCGGTAGAAGGTCAACTATAGGCACTGGGGTCCACATATTTAGTACTTAGGGGCTTAAACAGTTTTGGTTCGATTTAGACAATTTTTGGCATACTTTAATCGCATTATTCACGCAAAGTTTTATCCCGATACAGTCATTGTTGCCTGATTTGCATAGTGGAAAGTGAAATAATCAGATGGAATTTAAAATGGTGTTATATGGAAAGTAGGCGTGGTTGTAGTCCGATTTCGCCCATTTTCGCACTGTGACATAGAAACATGAAAAGAACGTTATGCACCGAATTTGGTTGAAATCGGTTAAGCAGATCTCAAGATATGGGTTTTCACCTAAAAGTGGGCTGTGCCACGCCCACTGTCTAATTTTGAACGCGGTTCCTATAAAGTCATCTTATACCATCTCAGAGATAAAATTTAATGTCTCTGGCGTGTTTAGTACTTGATTTATCGCGCTTTTAGTAGTTTTTAACAGTACCGTTATATGGGGAGTGGGCGGAGTTGCCACCCGATTTCAACTATTTTCACACCGTCAATAGAAGTGCTAAAAACATTTGCTTCCAGTGAATTTTGTTATTATAGCATTAGCGGTTTAGGAGATATGCACATTAATTCTATTAGAGGCGGGACCACGCCCACTTTTTAAAAAAAAATTTTAACTGCAGATGCCCCTCCCTAATGTGATCCTGTGTACCAAATAACAGTCTTGTATCTTAATGCGTAGCTTAGTTATGGCAAGTTATTTGTTTTTGATTAATGGCGTTTTGTTGGCGCGGCAGTTGTCCGATTACGCCCATCTGCAATACCAACCGTCTCACGGTACCATGAAACATGTCTACAAAGTTTCATAAAGATATCTCAATTTTTACTCAAGTTAGAGCTTGCACGGACGGACGGACAGACGGACAGACGGACGGACGGACAGACAGTCACCCGGATTTCAACTCGTCTCTTCATCCTGATCATTTATATATATATAACCCTATATCTAACTCGATTAGTTTTAGGTGATACAAACAACCGTTAGGTGAACAAAACTATTATACTCTGTAGCAACAGGTTGCGAGAGTATAAAAATTATTAAAACTCGAATAAACGCATTCAAAAAGAAAAGCTAAGTTACATATGAAATTGAAATTAAATAAATGAGCTGAAAAAGAGAAAATACTCATAGCAATGTGTGAACGAAATTTTTAGTGATCTTCGATTCTGCCAACCTTGGGCAAGAGTGAATCGACAACAAATTACTCTGAATCGCATGATTGATTGACGTAATTAAAGGGAGATAGAATAAAAAGCATACATTTTTTGAAAGAGCGCAAGGGCAGAGAGGAAGGAAAGAGTCAAACAAAGAGAGATAGAAAGTGAAAGTGCTTGCTTTCAGTTTTGGTACCAACTTACAATATTTACATATACTAAACAATCTAAATATTTATTTTAAATATCTCTAACATTTTCGATATAAGTATATGGTATAAAGTTAACAGTAGTTGCACAAATCATTTTTTTTGGTGTGCGGGGTCTAAGGAAAGGTACGCTTCGATTTCATCCCTTTAAGATATCTAGGGGCTAAGGGAAAATAATGATCGATGCTGAATTTTTTTGTACTGTCATATAATGTGATGTATTTCAAATAACATCATATGGAAAGTAGGCGTGGTTGTGAAAAACTTATAGACACTTTGAAACTTTAGCAAAGATCTCGTTTTGAGATTGAGCAACATTTGTTCCAAATCGATAGAGTGG